TGGTGCGTATGCGATCTGAACTACTTCAACGATGCCCTCGGGCGTATGCAGCGCAGGCATGAATTACTTATCTCTTTTTCTAGGCCAAAAATAAGAGTCCTTTTCAGATTTCGATTAGTTCGAATCTTTGCTTAAAAAAGGCTATAACTGGGACGAGTATTTAAAAGCGACGTTGTGGGTGTATTGGAGTGTTGTCTTCTATTCATGGAGTGAAATCGGTGTGTTCCGTCAATCAGTACTTGAGGGATGCGTCATGCATTCGACTTTATTAAGTATGGTGAGAGGTGATTGAAAGCACATCTGGCCTAAACATTGACTCGCGGTGGCCTATCGATACGCTGAGTCAGTGCTTTTATCTTCTCAGACAAGTTTGGTACCAATTTGCCGACCCCGGATGGATGGAAGGCTTGGTAAGCCTGGGCGTGGGATCGATCCTATTTGTACTGCAGGTCTCCTCTAACCACGCTACACGCACCTTAATTGCCAGTAATAATTGAATAAAATGCTGATGTGAATTTTGCATGAGGACTAGCTTATTGTGGTTATATTCATTTGTACATCTATATTCACGGTAAAATTTACGCCACTGATATGAACCAGAAATAGCGTGAAAATCCAAACTACTGCGAGATTTCTATTGTTAACATGGCTTTGATCATGTTGACGAAGCAAATGAGGAGCCAAGAAGATTTCACAAAAAATCGGAGTAATCTCAATCAGTTGGGTTTTACTATTTGGTGACTTGCAAGCAGTTTAGAGAGAATAAAGGAATTTAAAATGGTAAGTCTCTTTGCCTCTACGGCACATTTCTATGTGGTAGGTATGCAGAAGCACTAGTTGAAGCTTACAGAGGTTGAACCCACATAGAATGTGGAGTGGTACATCACCAAATGCATTACTAAGTATGATGACCGTTCTGTGATGTCCAGTAAAAACAGGCACCCAGAAGGACGATCAAATTCCATTCCAATTCCTTCGAGACTTGTCTGCCTACATAGAATCAAAGGAAGGTGGTCACGCAGCCTAAATCACTACTTAGGATAGTCGCATACTATTGAAAACAACAGATCCGACCCTCTGCATAAACTTTCGCCAATTCTCGCCAAAATAATGGCTCAGTGCTTTACAGGTCATTTGTCAGAATGCAAATATAAATAAAAGATAAAATGGATAAAGCGTTTTGTATTGATCAATTCGCTAAGAATGCACAATGTATTCGACTTGATTGACCAAAATATAAGTGAATGAAGTCATGTTTGGAGCATAAAATTCCTTGACGCAGTCCATTTATCCATTTTGTGTTCTTATTCTTCCATAAAAGTCTATTACCAATGCGAAGACCTCGGAGGGGCTTCGTTTGACCAGGGCGTGACATCGAAGCAGCGACCACTCGTGTTGCAGAGCCCCTCTAAGCACTTTTACACGCACTCCTCATGCAGACATATCTTTCAAAAAATAGACATTACTGTCAAATTTTAATCAATAAGATTGAAAATACATTGGATAAAGCTTCGACAGTGTGTGGTGGGGATGAGCGTGACACAGACGACATTCGCGAGGAACAGATTTGTGCTAGACCGACTCATTTAACCTCAGCGTGAATAATCAACAAATTTTTTTGGATTGTTCGTCTAGCTCGATTTTGCTATGCAACTTTTATTCGGCTACCCCTTCGATTTCTTCGTCTTCCTTAGAGCCGACGATCCGACTCCATGCCTACAGTCGTTCGGCTTCTCGATGTAGTGTCTTCATCGTTGTATTAAGTCGATTACCAACTACTGTAGGATGGATTGCCGACGTGAAAAGAAGTCATTATTAGTCAACAACCGTCCCGTATAAAAGAGCGCCTCCCAGCGAGGTAAACTCATTTGGGTGGCGCTCCACCAAAGAAGATTCGACTCGATACGACGATGAGAACACCATATCGAAAAGGCGGACGAATGTGGACATCGACTCGGATCATGCTGTGACGAAGACAAAAACTTCGGGACTTTAGCCGAAGAGAAGTTTCATAACAAACTCGCGCAAGCTTAACAGTTCAAAGAGCAAATTTGCCTCCGTCTCCTCGTCAACGTTTAAGGAGACGAAGACCTCATGATATGCATATTTTTCTTAGAACACCGACATGATGAAGGAGGCTGAATATATCTAGCAAGAAAGGAGGACTTGAGGAACGAAGAGAAAAAAAGCACACCCAGCTCTGAGCTCACTTCATGAGCTCCATAAATCATATTCACTTATCATGTTCTTCGAGACCCTGAATTGCATTCCAAGCAAGATTACAGTGCAGCAATTATTCTCGACCACACTATCGTATTAAGGAGTGTTGCTAAAAATGCTTTTCTTCACGCAAATAAAAGAGGGGTTCTGACGCTCTGTCCTAGGATAAGAATCAAAAACGAAGAAATTTTCCGTTCGTGTGGTGATTTAGGGAATCCGATGAGTTCAACAATTTATAGTTCCTAGTAGCACCTTCTAGACAAGCTCTATACCAACTGGACTTCATGATTCTAAAGTTTTGAACCTGATTATTAGACCTTTTCCAAACGAAGCCCCAATTAATAAATATGGTGCCGTTGCTACTTTTCTGCCTTCTAGGTGAATATGGAGCGCAGCTTAAATGAATGAACCATTCACTGATGCCTTTTTAGTCGCTCGCTAATTAATGGGGAGATACGTGCTGAAGGAGAAGTGGTAATTCAAAAATAATAACAATGCTTTTGGCGCTGCCCAATCTCTTAGGAATGTGCCATGCATTCGACTTTGTCAAGCATCGCTAGAGTGATTGAATCTACACAATCACTTTCAATTGTTTATCGTTGTTACAACTTACTGCTGCTATCCTAGTAGACAATACTGGTTCCTATTTACCTAGCCCGAATGGATGGAGCGCAAGGTGAGCAGTAATAATTTTTGGACCGAACAAGTGACCGCTCCAGTTCGTTTTGCAAGGAACCTCTAACCTCTGTCTTACTAACGCCTTTTTTTCTTTACATATTGTATCAAAGCACTTTGTTTCCTATTTTTCACTTCTTTCTTAAATCTGTCGATTTCAAGTGGTTTCGAAAATTTTAACGTAATTTTGTCATGGGAGGTATGTATGATTTTGAACAAGCAAAGAGGAGTTTTATAATTCTGTCCTCCTGTGAATCTGTCGTCGCTCGGAACATCCGAAAAGAAGGCCTCATATAAAATACCAAACTGCTTAATTTGCCCCTACGGCAGAGACGGTGACTGCACTAATCCGGGTACGATACACCTGATCTCTTGTAGTATTTGCGGAGAGAAATATATTGGCGAAACGGGCAGACCACTATGTGTCCGTGTAAAGCAGCGCCTAGATGGTAAACAAAAAGTAAGCCAAAGTACGCCATCAGGGACGCATAGGATACAAAAGCATAGCGGGGACGATTTAAACTTCTCGAGGCTTTTTGGATAAATGCCAAGAATCCGAAAATGAATAGCAGGAAAGAATGCTCAGACATAACCTGTGATCTAGTCCGTATCTCTATTTACTTTTTGTTGAGTGGTAGTGCAGTCATCAACCATATGCGTCTCTGAGCGTCCGTTCTTCCTGTGTGGAAGGCAGGTAAAAAACGGTGGGTTTTTCGAGAAGCTGCTGATCGTGTAATTATCGTTCAGATTTTCATCTTCTTGTTTGTGCTGTTGAATGGTTTGGCCTATTAATTTACGTATCAGTGTACACTTCCAGGCTTTGAAGAAGGCGATACTGCCGAGAAGCATCAGCTACCATTGTGTTGTATGTGTTTCCTTTCTAAGGAAATAAACGTGCGCTGAATAACAACCTCGCGATTGCTGAAAAAGAAAAACGAAGTCGAGTTAACGTTGAAAGCAATGTTGACCCTCCTAGAAGTGTGAATGTTTGCTTTAACTTGTAATATAGCAGATTCATATGCTTGTGGAAGAACTTTCACTTTTCGGTCACTATTAATGACACAGGTAGTGGTGCTCGGGATCTTTTAACTAGGTAGCCCACAATCATTAGAAAATCTATACAACAAGCGACACAAAATCCACCACCTCGGATATTGCCCAGATGTGTCGTCCGCAATTGATCGACTTCGAAGCGTGTATATAGGGTTCGTTTCTTTTTCAATAAAGGAAGTTTGTGAAATATATCGATATTCTGCTGTCGAAACTTTTCATCGAATAGATATGACCTGAGTTACAGAACTTATCTAGCGTTCAAGAAAAATAGTACAAGATTTTCCGGGTGAATCCAGGTTTTCCCAGGCTGAAAAATTTCGCTCAGGCTTGCGGTTTGCTATAGCACGGAAAAGCTTGGAAGTTAAATTTAAGGAACCAGAAATAATGAGTGTAAAAATAAACAACAAAAATATTCATTGCGTCAAAAACCCATGTTTACACAGCGATGCTCATACCAGTATCTTTGTTTTTTGGACAGTGTATAGAAAAATTTAAGAAATGCGCTTGAAAGAAAAGAGACACGCACACACATAGAAAGAGAGAGAGAGAGAGAGAGAGAGAGAGAGATACGAAAGCCATTTCAGATGTTGTAGTCTATTTTTAATGAAAAGGGATTTAATAAAAAACCTAAGAAAACGAAAAATTTCCAATCATTTTCAGCGGAAGAATGGCACGAAGATTTCTACGAGAACTTTGAGAAAATGAGGTGTGATCATATGAGGCAGAAGCACTTGGAATTTTTGACAAAACAAATTATTATTGTATGCAAGCGGTAAATTTGTATCTTTTCCTAGAAATTCAGGATAATAGGTATCACATTAGGTGTAAGGGTAACAAATGCGAATGGTGGCAGAATATGGTACACTAAATTCCCGAAAGTACCAAATTCCTTAATAAAACCATAAGAATGTACCCGACGTGGAAAGAAATTACATAATAAGGTGGTAAAGCCAAAGTGCATAATTAGCAGAGATTTTCACTCAATACTAGTGTTTGTAAAAATGACTTTATGGTCCAAATATCTCCTGAGCTAATTCTACGCCATCACATAGCTATTCATCTATGGTAACGTAATACTTGCTCATAAGACAGGATATGTGAGCGAAGAGCGGTCTAGCCTGAGGTTCGGCATCAAAGCATCGTAGAAGAACGTTACGTATTCCTCGAGGAATAAAATCCTTGAATGTAAGAACGATCTGCAATTACGTGGACGTAGTTTGATAATTTTTACATCTGACAGTCAATACTACACTGGAAAACATGGGTATCGATTGTCACTGCAACGTTAGCCAAAATATCCTGCATAGAACTGCCATGTAAAGCTAAATCTACATGGCCTGTCTTACCGCATCATTGTGGCCATTCATAATTTTCTCGGCGTTTTCGATAATTTCGGAATTCGAAAGCGATGCAAATGGAATTTTCTTGCAGGAAGTATCTGCAATTTCCCAACAACACACTGCAAACGCCCATACATCTGAACGCGATGAGAAAGAGTTCTGAAACCAAATAGGAAAATTTTGAGTACAAAAGAGAGAGATAGAATTACATAATTTACAAAGTAATTATAAAATTGTTGTGTTCCTTGTACCTGCAAAATACTTTCTGGAGAACTATAGCGAAGCTGAGCATAATGTGCTAGACCACGTGGTGACGTCACCTTAATCACAGTTATTTCAAGGGTTTTTAAAGTGAGGGTACTTTTGTGAAGTAAAACACTGTAGAGTCCTACAATATTTCTCTATTTCACGGACTTGATAAAAAAGGCGACATAGAAAAGTTAACCTAACTTTAGGCAAGAATTAAACAATGTTCTGGGAAACCCAAATTAACAATTACAGGTTGCAATGAGATTTTATATAGTAGACCTTGGATACAGTAATGGTTAACTAGAAGCACAATTGATGCACCTACTTTGGCTCTTAAATTCTCGTCGAGTACTATATTATTTGGAGTAAGATGACCATGCACGATACCAAGTGACTCCAAATGCCGCATGCCTTCGCATACATCAGCGCAAAGGCCCAGCAACTTGTTAATTCTGAAAATATCATAGTTCACATGTCTAGTCATAGATAAATAAGTTTAGCACAATGTCATTCCTTGTAGTATATTGTATTAACTGGGAAATGCTCTGCTAAAAGGAGTTCGACATTCCTATCCGTAAAGCCATGTAGTAGTACGCTAATGATAGAAATCGTCGCTGATTTTGAAGAAACTCGTTGTAAGGCAACAAATCTTTTAATAACATGAAAGGGTTGCCAGCTGCTGTAAACGATTTGATTGTCCCAGAAAGAATTCACAGAGACCTTAGGAGACAAATTTTGCCAAACCAACAATGTACCAGTTAAACGGGAGAGCTCATGGAGCTCAAACAATTCCTAGCCGGCAGTTGCTTCCAAATTCTCAACCAATTAATAAATGCTAAGTGTTCGTTCAACGGATTATCCAGACAGCGTGGACGAGAAAGCATATTTTGGCAACAAATCTTAATCTATCGCTGAGGATCGCTTACTAATACTGCTGTCCCGTATGTGAAGGAGGTTGCTTTTCCCATCCGGAAGCTCATCCGTGAGAAAACCAATGCCAGGAAACGCGCCGTCCCACGAGGAATGCACTCCCGACGTGTAGAAGTTCGTTTTGATCCAAGACGGTTGGAAATTGCTCAAAGTGACGTTTTGGAAGCATCCTGATAGGGAGTTCGCTCACATGGAAAAAGTGCTAGTATACTAGCAGAACGCCAGTGAAATAGAAATTGCACTGTTATCCATGCAAAGAACAGTGATTATCATAAATGAAGGGTGAAGGTAAGGTAAATTTGTCCGAGTGAGTTCTAATTGCAATGATGGCGAGATATTTGCAAAACTTCGAACGCTCGTGTCTGCTGTGGGGCTGAGAGAAAGGCGAAACGAAGATCTCGCATGGTGTGGTCGTGAACGCGTTAACACCTGTTAAGGGTAATAGCGTGTTCGGTCCCGACCGCAAATACCGGAGGTCTAGTGTTTTGCAAATAACTCAGCAACATTATGGCTACATTTCACACCACCTACCATTAAAAAATAGTATGCAATAGATAAAAATTGAAGACATAGTAAGTTCTAATTGTCCACTCACGGAATCGATGACTGATGCGATCTTAGATACTGTCTAACGTTCCCATTTGGTGCAAATTCCAATAATAATCCATCGTTGACATCGACAGATAGTAAACGAATCACATGTGGACTATTTATAGAGGATAGCATCTTTATTTCGTCGAGAATAGCATTTCTGAAATGAATAACTCAAGTCCTAACAATTTAAACGTTGCGAAAAAATTTTAAAGCGCTCAAAACATGCCCTCACAAATATATAATTAACAGAGTTAACCTAGAGTTATGGAGGTGCTGTGAACAACCCTTAAATTCGAGTAATCAACTTGGTATTGCTAGTGTCTTCCCAGTATCTACGCGTACAACATGCTTGATAGTATTAATGAAAAAAAAAGGAAATGATGGCTTGGCGCTCATGAAGGTTTAATTAGTGGCTTTATCTGGCCGTAATTGGTGTGACAGAACACGCCCGTAGGAAAAAATTAGAAAATTAAACTGTGAAGGTTTGTTCAATGAATGAAAACATTGAAAATTTCCCAAAGTTTTTTATCCCCGCACCCATGTTTCCTTAATAGTTCATCGCCCCAACGTGGCTGGGTGTTCTTGGGTATCGAAATGCGATGAAAAGCGATGTATATCTGGGTTATTTCCAACGGTCTCGAATAGTAATAAGAAATTACATACTGCCATCTAGAAGTCTAGATAAGAGTAAACTATGGCCATTAATCGCCACCGTTGGGATAGCAAAGCAGTCGCAAGTTAACAACTCTGCCTCTGAGACAAATGGCAGGCAACTGCTGGGAGTGAAACGTTGAAAATACTCTATCATCGATATTTCAACCTTCCAAGAAAAAAATCCATCCTAAAAGAAATTAGCATTAGAACGGAGTGTTGGGGTTATGCGATTTTTTGTGAAGATGGGTCACTGACGTATTTAAGTAGTGTTTAAGGTTTTGTTTTCTGCTTTCTATAATTTTCATGGCAGGTTACTAAGCGCGATACAACCACAACGTTGCTGAGATATTTGCAAAACTCTGGTCGTTCCCCACCATAGACACCTGCTGTCCAGAGTTTTGCAAATATCTCAGCAACGTTGTGGTTGTATTTAAGTAGTCTTCAATATTAGAATTAAACAAAATGCTTCAGTACTTAACGACTTTTCATTAATTTCTAGTGGCTATGAAACATACCTCCCATGCAAATTATTTACGTCTCTGATTGTTTTATGAGCAACTTTTCCAAACTTTGGAACAACACATTCCCTTATAATTGTGTGTTTTCCTCTACCAAGTTCCTTACTCATGCACAACGATGATAGAGCAGTTCTCATGGATTTCTCCGCACTGAAACGTATTATAGCTTTCATACATATTGTTTGACTAAGGTTTCAAAACAGTCACATAGTGTTCTTAAAGAGACGGAACAAGAAATAAATTCCCCACTAAGAAAAAATCTATTTCTACGTAAACCGAAGACGGTGTCAATGCACCAAAGAAAGCACAGTACAACAGCAGCCTAGCTCGAACCTAACACATCATAAGACTGGAAGACCAAAAGTAGATTTAAAATAAATGGAGAGAAAACAATGGTAACCTTTTGTTTTCCGCCTACTATAATTCTTCACGGCAGGGTATAATGTGTGCAGTGTGTAATGCGCGAGCCCCCGAAAAGCGAAATCATGGTTTGATCTGACCCTGAGTCCAAGCTTTGTGAATGTCTCAACAACACTGTGGAGAGAAAACAGTTGAGCTAATCAACAAAGCAGATGACCACCTCATTGAGCTCTTGCAAATTAAAGAAACGTTGAAGGATATGAAAACGAAGATCGCAAACGCAAATCCATCAATGCATGAATACACACTTCCATCCGCCTTTATTCCAAAATTCAGTAGACAAATATAGAAAAGGGATACATTTTGGTAACTCATCCACCAACTAGTACATTTATAGAAAACTGATGAATACTTCACGACGAACTATCTCAAAGACGCGAGGCTGGTACAGGTCTTCATTGTCGTTGTCGTTGTTTTTGATGTTGTTGGTCGATGGTTGACGTTTCGGCGACTTCGCCTTCCTCAGGGCCTGGACGTATTTTATATTAGAATATTTTTATTATTCGGTGAAAAAGAAAGGTTAAAGTATTAATGAAGATCAAACTTTCAAATAGACGCCATTCTGAACAGAAAGGCCACTCACCGTGATGTTACGTGCGGGACTGGCCCACGCGTTGTTTTCGTGGAGTCGCGAGCAAGACACACCCCGGGGTCAAAATATCATTTTGAAATAGGGCGCCAGGTCACGCGTGATAGTGAGGCATTCGTCTTTCCGGTTCATCTTTGGATTTTTGAAATTTATCCAAAGCGCCTCAAGAGTACTGTGCTAGAAGGTATAATGCTTCCGGAAAATGTGCGTTTCTTGTTAGAATTGGGTCCGAGTTTTGCACCTAGTCAACCCATTTCTAAACCAATCCGGCGCAGGATCACGTGTAGACTACATAAACTTCAAGATCAGCTATGTTACAGGGTTAGGTTACAAAGGGTAGGTAAAGTAGTACCAAGGGGGCAACTACCACCAATACTTTTTCCCCGAACTTTCTTTAAACAAGAGCTACCAAATAGCGATATTGACCCTACATTTCGTTTATTTTCGGACGAAATTCTCTGCATACTTAGTCGCTACCAAAAACGAAAAATAAGCTCCAACCTCACACAGCAACAAGAATGTGGTACGCGCCAGGTTAGAGAGCTTTTCAATTCAAAATCTGTTAGACTTTCTATTAGTGACAAAGGTGGAGAATTCGTAGTTCTTCCTAGTCAGTTGGATATTAGGATAACAGAGGAGCACCTCGATGATGTTTTTTTCTATCGAACATCCTCTGAAAAGGAATATAGAAATCAATACCGAAAATGAAATCAAGAATGGGTCAGCACGGCAAAGGCCGCGGATTTAGAGCCTTCAGATATTTCTCGACTTAAGAACGAACACCCGATTTGCCCTGTCCTTTACTTGCTTATTAAAACACATAAGCTTACTTCAACTGATGATATTACATCAACGAACCCATCATCATATAAAGTTAGACCTATCATCAGTTGTATAGGCGGGCCAACGGATAGAATAACGTGGTTCCTAAACCTTATCCTAACCCAGCTGCTAAAATTCATTCCAACCCATCTACCTAACACCAAAATATTTCTAGATCACCTAAGCCGCGCGAAACCAAACAGCACGCATATAATGGAGTCATTCGATGTTAGTTCACTTTATACAAACGTGTCCAATGACTCCGCAATGCAAGCCATTCTCGAGTTGCTCGTAGAGCATGAAAAAAAAATAAAAATGCACGGCTTGTCGATTGCGCAACTAATGACCCTCTTAAAACAGTGTCTTAGTGGTTCAATCTTTAGGTGGTCTGGAAAATATTTTGCACAAATTAGAGGGCTGGCGATGGGGCAGCGTTTAGTACCAAGCTTTGCCATCGCTTTCATGTCTAAGGTGTAAGCTCCAGTTCTCGAACACCGACCGTTACTCTACTGTCGATACATAGACGACTACTTCATCGTCTGTTCCACACAAGAACAGATGGATGAGTGCTTTGAATTATTAAACCAACAGTCAGAGTATATAAAATTTACACGAGAAAAACCTACCGAGAACTGGCTTCCATTCTTAAACATCTAAACAAAGCTCTCAGTAAGTGGCTGTGTAACAAAATGGTAAGGGAAGCCAAATAGTAAGAATATTCTAGTTCACTACCTCTCCTCTCATCCTTCACACATGGAAAAAGCATTTATCAAAAACATATATCGTATGGCTAAAAATGTGTGTACAGGAGAAGAGGAAAGGAAGGAATCGCGAAGCCTGGCACGGAAAATTGCCATTTCCAATGGCTACGAAGTAGAAGCCACTCTGGTTAGAGGAAAACGTTGGGTAGTTTCCCAAAATAATATTTCAGACGACAGTAGGATCCCCTTTAAGCTGCCCTTCATATCAAATGAAGTAAGTCACGCCATTAAGAGGTGCTTAAGAAAAAGTGGTTTTGAAAATTATGCAACGATTATTGACATCCCACCCAATACCCTACGCCGCCAGTTAGTTGGAAACTGTCTCTATGATCGTTTGCGTAGCTCAGAAAACTGTATGATCTGTCCTAGCGGGAGAGACGGGGATTGCATGAGTTTAGGTATAATATACTTGATCTCATCTAATGAATGCGGCGAGGAATATATTGGAGAAACGGGTAGACCACTTTGTGTCCGCATGAAAGAATATCTAGATGGCAAAGTTAAAATCCGTCTAAACACTCCTCTAGGTGCGCATAGGGCACAAAAGCACAACGGCGACGATTTTGAAGTGCGGATCCTAGCGCGGGAATCAAAAACATCAACGCGCAAAACTCTTGAGGCGTTTTGGATAAATTTCCAGAATCTAAAGATGAACCGGAAGGACGAATGCCTCACTATCACGCGTGACCTGGCGCCCTATTTCAAAATGATAGTTTGACCCTGGGGTGTGTCTTGCTCGTGACCCCAAGTAAACTACGTGTGGGCCAGTCCCACACGTAACATCACGGTGAGTGGCCTTTCTGTTCAGAATGGCGTCTATTTGAAAGTTTGATCTTCATTAATACTTTAACCTTTTCTTCCACCGAATAATAAAAATATTCTAATATAAAATACGTCCAGGCTCTGAGGAAGGCGAAGTCGCCGAAACGTCAGCCATCGTTCAATAACATCAAAAACAACGACAACGACAACGAAGACCTGTACCAACCTCGCGTCAGCTTAAGAAGATCAGTTTATAAGATCATATTAATAAGTATATCAACTATCTATGCCGGGTTTTATAGAAAGTCAGTCTTTCGAGCTATCTCAAAGACGGTCTCTAAATAAAACCGAAAGTATTCATCACGCAGTACGAAATACCAGGAGAATTATGTCAGACAATAACAGGTAATTTAAGCGCAGACATAGTAAACGACAAGCTGTTGTCGATGAAGTGCTAGATTGACCACAGCTGCACAAACCACCTCGAGAACCAAGAACGACTGCGTGGATCTTCTTGACACCAGTTAATGCAACAGAAAGTAAAAAAAGCGCACAGCAAATGTCTGCAACAACAACTAAGAAAGCTCACAAGAGTTGTTGAGAAATTTGCCTCGCAACAAAGACAGCAGCGTAAACTAATAGTCTAGAATAGAAAACACCTCGGAACAAGTATTAGTAAACAACCATTATGATGCTGAGATATTTGCAAAACTTCGACCCCAGAACGCACCGCGATCACCCTATCCGAGGACTCACGTGTCACGAGCGGCAGCACTGATGTCTTCCTTCTGCCTTTTTTTAGTCAGTCTTTTTACCTTAACGGCGCCATGAGCAATAACCTGTCAGCGAGAATGATCTGGGGAGCACAAATTGGCATTGAACCCAATTACGCTAAGGCTGTATTCGAAAGCGCAATGTATAACTTTTATTTACTGCCCATTATTTTTCTTTCATGGCAGAGCCTTATTAATAAAGTAAACGTTTTAGAGAAGGAATTAAAGCAACAAACCAACGAAAACACAGTTAGATTTAAAGAGGGCATGGAAAATTGTGCAAAAGTAGAGCTCGTTATACGCGTGCACAAGTGAACAAGGCCTAATGAAAGAATTCTAAACACCTGGATGCATTCGTAGAATCCAATTTCGAAGAATGTCAGAAGCAAGGTTAAGCGATGTAATAAACAACTGGAAACACAATAGGAAGAACAAAGACGTATAGTGGGAACAGCTGATAGCGTCTACAGGTTAATAACACCGCTGAGAGACAGGCGAAACGGAGGGCTCGCATGGTGTGGTGGTGAACGTGCTAGTCTCCAGAAAGAGTAACAGCGTGCACGATCAGCACAGCAGACATTTCAGCCAAGAGTTTTGCAAATACGTCAGAAACAATATGGCTAAATGTCACATAATACCCTCCTATTAAAAATTATTAGGCAGTAAATAAAAATTGGCGACAGCGTGAACAGCCCCCACGGATAAACAATATGAATTAACAACTAAATCTCACGAGGCTGACCGTGAAAATAGAAATAATGGCAACTGAACACGCTGAAAATCCCATCATTCTTCAGCAGCATGATGAAGCGGTAGTAAAATAGCGAAATTAAGGAACTATTGATAAGAGGTATGAAACGAAATTTATCCAAGACTTAATCGGGCTCAATATCGCGTGTCACATAAGGGGGACATCAGACACTGAAACCACTAAGCTAGAAGCGGTTTTTCATATGTCAGAACATATAAGTGGTTTCCATAAATTGTCCGAAATCTCTTAGTAACAACTATTCATCATTTTTCTAGTATGTGACATCTCGAAACTGCAACAAAAAGCCCTCGTATTTCTTTAGTGACGCAGAACAACCATTCCAATCGAACGACATAGGGCTAGAGGCAACCGCTACAACTTGCGAACACAGTGCAACCCTTGGGTGACAGAAGTGTAGAGATGATCCTCTACCTTGTAAAAAATGTCGAGAAAATTTCTACACTTCTCTTCTATTGCCAACATTGTCAACTAGCTCTTGACAGCAAACATTTCATTGCAACACTGTCTTATTTGAACTGCATATAGGAACAGCTAATTGACTCGATCTCCTATTGTCACCTTCTGCTTGATCCGTTCTACTTTCTTCTGCCATAGTTTCTAGTAGAAACAAAAACAAAAAGTAACCAACGACAAGAAGAAAATGTGCCTATTCTGAATAAATGTTTTTCTCCTGAACTGATTAATACAGGAATTTTACCAGAAACTTGGCACTGGACAAATGAGGAACACTTCAAGACTTACTGTTCTCTAACTGCAACACTGTCGTACTGATGAATATCGTCATTTCTAAAACGAATTTTATCAACTGTGCTAAAACAACTAAGCCAAAGAAGAATAATGGAGAAGAAAATGAGACATACTTGTTGGCAGCATGCAGTGATGGTCGTTCTAGCGAATCTCCTCCATATTCTTCTTCGATTTGATGTTTTGTTATCGAAGGTTGTGCAAAAATTGTATGAGCATAAATTTTGTCATCTGGAAAGAACTCCGCATAATCACCAAAGAGGTACTATCGCTGAATACATTTCTATTCAAACTTACTACCCATGTTAAAAAAAAATCATGCAAGTCACAACTGTTCAACTTATCGCGAACTTTGACTTTCAATAAGTCTCGGCATCTATTAAATAAGTTACGTAGACATAATACACCGTGTACTTGAAATCTGAACATAATTATTGTTACTGCAAACCTGAAATAGACGGTGGTGGTGGAAAATGAAAGTCGTTCCATGTTGCTGGCCCGAGTTTGGGTGAAGCGCTCTTTGAGGATAAACTGAGAAAATAAATCTTAAAAAATCCGCTTAAAGATCTAAGAAATCATTCGATATCCCTAACTGTAATCGGAAATTTTTAAAAGCTTTTGTTTAGTGCATTCAATTCAATGCTTGCTGTTCAAGAATTTTTCAGAAGTCATCATAATTCACCTTGTGCACGTTGTTTTAGCTGATGCATAAAAATTCGGTAGCAGTTGCTCTTGAGACGAAGGCTGTATCTCTGTGGAGGACTTCCCGCTGACATGAGTGATAATCAGATTCCTTCGAATGCCGTTCTCGAAATTCTCCAGCTTGTTATCAGATTTTTGTCTTCTTATGTGAATTACCAAGCATAACACAATTGTCGACAATAATAAGGCTGAAGAAGACACTGTAATATGCAGAGTTCCATTCAAGAACTAGAAAGGAGGCTCGAATTGCAAACATATGACTTTAGAAAAAAACAATACCTGTAAAACCAAGAATGGTTGGTGTGACAACCGTATTACTTCTCACATCAACAACAACGGACGATTCATTGAACAGCACTGAAAAATCTGGAGCAATTTTTTTTATTTTTTGGAAACAAATTCACCTTTGAAAAAATTTGCAAGAACTTTTTTCCGTATCCGGAAAGCAAACGTTTACGCAAAAAAAATCAATTGAAAAGAATAGGATTCGTTGGTTCCAGCAGGTCAAAGCCAAACTGTAGGGTAGCGAAAGAATCTGTAGGTACAAATGTGCCGATTATAACAGTTTTCAGTGGATGATCAATGAAAACTCTTACGAGCTCTTTTAAACTGAACTTCGTAGTCGTTTTCGCATCGTACGCATTGATATCAAGGCGCTTTGCTACGAGTATGCCAAAAAAGCATAGAATTCACTCTTATTTCCTTCCACGAACCAACTATTGTTGTTTGGAAAAGTTTGAATATGAAGGAATATGGAGTTGAAAATTTCTCAAATGAAGCTCGTGAATGGACCAAAGCTAACATTATCATCGAAGACATGGTGGAATTTCTTGAGGTAGATTCACGACGAAATGTTCAGCAACTATCAGAAAAGTTGGTAGCAAGCGTTTGAAATATTTTCCAACATGTAACTTGGCTTTCAACAGTCAGAAAAGTCGATAACTCAATTTCATACCATATCGATGCCAGGGGGTGAGGGGGTGTAGCACGGATCGGAGGCGCCCTGCAATACGCATGGGCCGATCACCGCTCCCGAGGCACATCAAGCCCTTCATCATTGCGGGGTCCACAAGTTGGTACCGGAGTTGTCTGGGCGAATTGCAGCACTGGCATGATACATCGGTAGACCACCGCGAGTTATTGTAAAGGCCAGATATGCATTCAGTCACCACCAGCGATGCTTAATGAAATCGAATGCATGGGGCATCTCTCAGGGAATGTTCAGTGCCGACAGCTTTAACCTTTTTATTATTATTTTTTTTTTGGTACAGCGCCAGTCATGCAGTTTCTCGAACATAAATCTAAGCACATGTCGTGTATGAAGCTTGAAAAATGGAGAGATAAGAGTTCAATTTAGAGAGATTAGATCATTTTCAAACTATTTACGGAAACATGCTACGCTTTTCACAAAAAGAGGAAGGCTAAATCTTCCGGTACTGTTCCTTAGGCACCAAAAGATGTGCGCTGCCTTCGTTATCTGAACAATTCTGGTATCCATTTTTCTATTCAGAACTTATGATAAGATTGGTTATACAGTACATAGCGTTGAACCAACGAGCATTTGGATGTCAAAACCAGTAAAATGATCGGCTCTAATTAAGTAAAACAACATCGAACCAGAATTAAAGTGGATTTCCGTAAGGAAAAACCAATCAGCAACAAATGAAAGAGTGACACGAATTTTTTTTGCCATTCGCTTATGAAGCGGAATATGAAGGTCGTTTCTGAAATGAAAATCGACATATAGAACCCATACACTACTGCAAAGTACTAATGCAATTAATAAAGCCTGAAATCTCACCTCTTTTGGGTATCCGATGGCGATCTGCTCAGCGATGAGATTTGCGATGAGAGCGAAAAATTTGTGCCGTCCTGACTGAATTAATATTTGTATAATCTCGAAAATATTGAATTTATGCTATTATTCACTAGACGACTGCATGAAGTACATTCTGCATGCAACTCCATAAAGGAAACAGTAGCTGAAGATTTTTCTAGCCCCACACATCTCGCGTCCCGCTAGCAAAAGTGGGGACGACAAAAAAGAAAACTTATTCTTTACTTATTTATCATCTCATTAAGGACGACTGTTCTCCATTGTCAAACTCTGTTATACAAAACAGGATCCATCCCATACTTGTTTAAACCCTGAAGAGGTATAGTGCCTAGCACCTCAGCTAAGACCAAACTGTTACCAGCACGCTCTCGGGCTGATCACATGGGTCGCCTGGAGTCTATAAGTGGGCGCTCCAGTGTGGGTTTCAAGGAGCCTCGGCGAAGAAAAAACTTCTCAAATCTGCATTATCGGCCAAGTGCGAAATGCGCAAAGCTTTTCATAATTCATTAATACAAGCCGTTTATTTAATACAACACAGGTTAACTGCAAGTTTAAACTGTCAAAATCCTAACAAATTTGCGAATAAAGCACTTTTATTAGCATAAAAGCACCCTAAAACTAAACAGGTGAGGTTTAACTAGTTGACTTTTTTGGCAACCACAACTGAGGTTACTGTCATATTATTTATTAACAGTAGCTGAAATTTCGGCAGATTTGCCCTTTCTCAAAGCCTGGAAAAGTCAAACTGATACACAGTCTAGTCAGCCAAATACCTTCATAACTTCAACGGGAAAGCGGCGAAAGCCAAATTTCAATCGCGTTGCATACAAGACAGCTTCTCCACTCACTAATTGTCTTCTATGAGCCCTCCACGTGGAGAATAGCTCACATGATTGCGTAATGCGTCTTTCTGGCGTCAAAATATCAGCCTCAAATATTGAGTGATCACAGGTGATGAAAAGATATTCCCATTTGCGGTAGAATTTTTGAAACTTACCGAAAATCTCCCAGGAATTTTGCACGCAGATATTTTGGATTTCTGTGCGAAGATAGCCACTTTTACTTCAAAATTTTCTGCGTTATGTTTTTGCCCTGTGCGAACCTAGTGGAGTGTTCTGCCTACCTTTATGTTTTCACACTAGTTGCTCTTGACGCACAGTGGTTTACCCGTTTCGTCAACTCATTCGTCCTCGCAGGCCGTGCAAGAGAATAGGTACACCGCGCCCGAGTCCGTGGAAACACCGTCTCTATCGTCATAGTAAATTATGCAATTCTGAGTTTCGCATAGATGGTCATACAAGCGGTTACAAAGCACCCATCACCTTTAGAGTGTTTGTTGGCATTTCAACCACAGCTGCCAATTTTTTATTAACCATTTGTTTTTGAGCAACTTTTTAAAGCTGTACTTATTTTGTACGTGAAATCTGAGCAATCATCCTTCTGCTCTCCTCCCTGTTGTGCGTCACTGGTCATTTGGATCGAAACATGTTTCTCACAAGCGCCCTTTTGTGTGTGAAGCGTGACAGGGGAGTTAATGAAAAATGTGTATCTGTAACTTGGTGTTCGATACCATTCAGTGGTCTAGCAGTTTTTCGACAAGTTGATTTGAACGGTCAAAACCGAGGTCAGTCGTTCTTCGGTTTCGAGCGTGAAATTTATGTACTTCGACTGCTGGTTTAGCAATTCAGAACATTTGCCCAGCTTGTCTCCATTGGAGTAGCTTATAAGACAATCATCTATAAATACAATATTTAAATTGCAGTGATGGTAAAACATCGATTACTGAAGCTTCCAATTTAGATAGAAACACAATGGTAAAGCTTGATGATAGTCACTGCCAAACTGCCGATTCTCTCACTTTGCGAAATATTTCGCTGAGCATCTAAAGATTGAGTGGTTCGGCACTCTTTCAAGCGAGTCGAATAGATAGGGCGAACATGTTTATTGCTGTTGTAGTTGTTTTTCTTGCCTTATAGGCACTTCGAGGATAGCTTGAATGACGGAGTCCTTCCTACCAACGCTTGCATGATGGAGCCCTTTGAGTTTAGCATACTTCTTACAAACGCGTTCACTACAACACCATGTGGGTCCCTTGTTTCGCCTGTGCCTCAGCTATTTCTATCCAACAGTGCCATCAGCAATCACTCGTGAGCGGGATTGAGAGATCACCCCGGAAAGGACAATAACGCGCTCGTTCCCCACCACAGACACCTGCGACCCGAAGTTTTGGAAATATCTCAGCATCATTGAAGTTATATTTCGCAATATACACTGCAATTAAAAAGAGTGGGCACCAAATAATAAGTTAAGATTATGATTAAAACCACAGCCTCAGCATAACTAGGTTCGATGCTGATTTTGGCTGCCTAGGTCAATTCCGCCAATGGGTAATTGCTGACGGAAAAGACCGATAGAACTATCTGAGAGACAGGAGAAACAAAGGACCCGTATGTGCAGTGGTGAACGCATTCCTGCCCGAAAAAGACAACAGCGCGTTCGTTCCGCACCTCAGACACCTGCGGTCTAGAGTTCTGCAAATATCTCAGAATCACTGAAGATCCAGGAATATTTGCGTATCCGTGATAGGGCATGGGATGTGTTTTGACAACTGGGTAAGTATCACATATATCTCCTGTAGTCCCCCCGATTGTCGAATGACTCGAGCGGGCGCCAGTAAATCTTTCATTTTTCCCTGTCGCGCGCAAGAGTAGCCCAGTGTGTTTGCTCGCTCTTGGGACTCGTCGAGCATCATATCTTTCTTCCAGGCTCGTCGTGATGAACTCTGACCATGGGGTCGGTAGTCTTTCCGCAATACGTTTGACATCCCGAGGAATCCAGTCACTAACGGCTCTTGTCCATCGGTGGTAATTCAAACGCATTACGTGACCGGCCCACCTTATCTTCGACTGTTTGGCGTACAGAACGTCATCTTTGATTTTTGATCGTTGACGCAGATCGGAGGTTCGGATCCCAACCCTTACTTGTGGGAAACAGGATTCTCCTAGCATCGTCCTTTCGACTGAACGTTCAATAACGCTGAATGATCTTTCATCCTGCTTACGCGGCGACCAGGTTTCTGACGCATACGTTAGCGCAGGAAGTACCGTTGAGTCGAAAAGGTGGGCAGGGAGTCGGGTGTACTTTGTTCTCTTCACTACATCCTCGATGCTCTTGAAAGCTCTCCAAGCCGCCCATTTTCCTCTGCTCAGCTATGGAGCTAGATCGTTCATCACATTGATTTTCCGACCCAGATAGATATAACTGGAGCATTCGAAGATATTAGTTCCGTTGAACGCGAATGGTTCATGCGAGACCAATTTGTTCTTCATGAACATCGTTTCTGTGAGATTTAGTCGAAAACCAATCTTTCCACAAGCTTTATCAAAGTCGTCAAGCATACGTTGCGCTTGGCTAATGTTTGGTGTTATAAGGACGATGTCATCAGCAAAGCGAGGATGGTGCAACTGCCGACCTTCGGTTTCCACTCCCATATTAACCCATTCCAATGCTAGCATGAAGCTCTAGAGGTTGGCGACAAGTAATTTTAGCGAGATGGTATCGCCTTGTCTAACTCCTCTTTTGACTTCAATGTTAATACCGCTGTAGAATGGTGATATCTTGGTTGTGAGATTTTTGTAGAGCTCACGAAGAATCTTTATGTACTGAGTAGGAACTCCCTGACTATCAAGGGATTCCATGACTGCTTCTATCTCAATTGAATCAAAGGCCTTCTGGCCTTCTGTAAATCGATGAAAGTGAGACAGAGCGGTCTTTTGTACTCTCGCGATACTTCAATGAGCCTTGTTATCGTGTGGATGTGGTCCATCGTACTAAATCCTTTCGTCTGGGCGTCGGAGTCCAATTATCTTGGTCTCGTAATTGGCAAAGCTTCGATAGGCTTTGCGAATGTTTTCCACAGCCTTTGCAGCTTCGACCGTTACTGTTGCTCTCCTCTCTTTAAGATCTCTTATCGCCTGTTTGCATTGTTTTGCAAGTTCGGACGTTAGTTCGCTGTTGCCTACAGCTCGTGCGATTCCACGCTTGCGTATCAGCTCGAGTGTTTCTGGAGACAATCGTCTCTTGGAGAATTTCGAACTCCCAGCTTTCATAGCGGTAACGTGAAAATACTGAATGAGCCGATCGTATTTCTCGTCGATGTTAGTGACAACGGCATATTCCCAACAGCCGACTAACGAATTGAATAAGTCCCAGCTGATAGTGGTTCTGGGACTTCGGTTTTTGAATTCGCCGGTTTTTCTCCTTTCCGCGAGAAATAGAATTTGGCACGAGAGAGACGGTTGTCTGCTCCCGTGTAGAATTTTGGAACAACAACGACATCGGTTTGACAAAACCTTCTATTTACTATGATGTGGCCTATTTCGTTATTACACTCTCCATTGGGAGGCTCCCACGTCCAGTGTTGAGGGTGGGGCTTCTGGAACTGCAAGTTACCGTGGATTGTCTTGGTCGCCATGATAAACTCAGACAGCCGCTCACACTGTTCGTTCCATGCTCACCCATGGGTCCCATTGTTACGTCTTTCATACGTTTATCTTGGTCCAATCTTGGCGTTGAAATCTCCAATGCTGACCTTGAAGAATGTATGATTTTTCCCGTAGAACTTCACTAAGTCTATATATAACACTTCGACTTATTCTTCGTCATAGTTTGATGTCGGCGCGTAAACGACGACGATTGTCAAAGCCGGAATTGATCCATGTCTTTTTAATCATAAGCGTCCCATTCGGGTTGTAAGCTGTTCTAATGAGCCGATGTTCATGGATAAACTCGTGTTGACGAGAACGCCGACGCCGTAGACTCCTCTATTGTCGCATGTTCCAAGTAACAGTTCTTTTCCGGTGTCATAGATGGCGTTGAGTGGGTGGCGCCTTCTCGTTTCGGCCAGACCGATGACTTCGTACCTTATCCTTCTTGCTTGCATGAGAAAATCTTCTATCGAAAACTCGGTTGCAAGTGTGCGTGCATTTTAGGTACAGATCGTAATAGTTCATAGTTCATAGTTCTATAATCCAGCAGCTTCCATTTGCCCTAAGATTTCAGCAGCCTCTCCGTACTCTGTACCCATCGCTTCGAAATCGGGGCGTTTCGGAGTCAGGGCAACGAGACCCGTTTTTTTACTGTGTTTAGCATATTTGATGTCTATGTATAGCTTGCTGGGCTTTAAACGTAGAGGCTGAGTATACTCTCGAGTAGCTTGCCAGGCTCTCCCAGAGTGGACATGGAGCTTATTTGTTGGAGGCGACTCCTAACCGCCTCCCATATACTTCCCAGTCACTTGATTTCAGGCTTTTGGTCGAATTGACTTGTAGAATACAATCCGCACAAGCGAGAACGCACCCACACGCACATGCATAAATACGCCTAACAAATACTTACTTACTTTCTTGGATACTTAAACGGTCCGTCTTCACGAGCTGTACGGACTCCAGCACATATGCCATTCGTTCCTTTCTCTCGCAATCGCAGTCCATGGTGGTGGTCTTGTTCGAGCATTGTAGCGCTTGCGAGTCTCATACCGTGATCTGTAAAACAACTGCAGCTGCGGGTACAGCTGATTAACTTTGGTTACGAACACGTCCGCCCAACGTTTAGGGGTCGTCCAAGGAGACGTTTGCATTCTCTTGGTGTCCACTCTACGGTTCTTTTCGTCCACTTATCGTCTCTTCTTTTCATTATGTGACCGCTAAATCTATGTTTCGCTGCCGACGAATATTCTCCTGGATCTCGAAAAAAGCAGAAACAAGGAGCCCATCCCCTGGATCCACTTGTGTCTCAGGAAAGCAAAAGTCGCTTTTGGTTCGCGGTTAACGCCCTATTCACCTCCTGGGGACGCGCCATGTAGCCTCGCGACTAACCGGCTCGAGATCTCTCATATGAGGGAGATCCGTGAACTGGGTAGACGCCAGGGTTAAAAAGCATGTTGCCCTTTCCGTTGACTTGTTTCTTTCTGCGTTCATGGTTTTTCTACTGAAGTTATGAATGTGTTTGGCTGGCTAGATTGACTAGAATGAATTTGAGCTTTCCAGGTTCAGAGGAAGGTGAAATCTGCCGAAAAATCAACTAATGTAAATAGATAACATGTAGCAACCTCGTATATGCTTATCAAGAAAACAACGAATTACTGTTCAATACTGAGGTTGATAGAGAGCAGCTGTCTTGGAAATTACCGCAACAAGTTTAAATTTAAATCACGTAACATACACCATGATGGGACTAATAGCACAGTGGCTGTGATGCTCGTCATCACTAGATTAGTGCTAGTCCGATTCCACTTTGGGCCAACCAAGCTTCACATCCCTCCGAGGTCGGAAAATTGGTGCCGGTCTTGTCTGGAAAAAATCACTCTCTGAAGTCCAATTGGGAATGCTCCAGCCCGCCTATCTCAGGTCTCCAGGACGAATTGTTCGACCAGCATTCAACGACACTCAAGATGAAATTAAATCCTCAAGCAGCGACCGAAGCCACACGTAAGAACTTGGGAGACCTTCGTGGACGATGGATGCGAAGAAACGATTTGGATGTGAGAAGTACTGAGATCTGCACAGTAGATGTGAGGTTAGGTCAAATAAAATAAAATAAAAAGTAAAATAATATACTGTGATGAGAAACCACATTTTCACATGCGACAAATTTCTATATCAAAGTTCAGTAGGTTGTTCAATAAAATATGAAAAACTTCTGACGATGATGTTTCCATTTCAGTCACATAAAAAATCAGTTACCAACTGAAAGACCAGAATTATACCTAAATATCACGTCGATGCTGTTGATTCGACCATAGGCGGCTAGCAAAACTCCGGAAAAAATTCGTAACTGGTCAAATTCAAAGAGTAGCGTTACAATGCCATCTGAATAAAACCTCATCAACCTTCCGAATATTTCTCTTTTTTAAATAATCCTTCTATTAGGCGCCTAATTCTGACCAGTATGGTGTTTACTCCAGCCAATCCAGGAACCATTGGGATTGTTTCCATCGAATGGAGAGTTTTCAGAAACGTAGCCATCGCTCAGAAGACCGAGACCTCTGAGATGTGCATGACAATTGTGGTGAGAAAGCGAGAATTCTTCAAATTTTAAAAGTAACCTTTTTATGCCTGTTTCCGTGTATAAGTCGCTGTTTTCGAATGTCTTATCTCGAAAATCGACGCCTCCGACACGTGAACCGGCCGGTAAGGTTGAATAGAACAATAAACCATCTGAAATAGATAATCTGACAGACATTAAAACCTAATGCAAATCGTTACTGACTCCTATGAAGACATCCATATAGTTCCATCCGTAAGCAAATCGTTCGCATTTGTTTCGAATGAGGTACGATTCGTATTCGTGAAGCGACTATAGGCGGAACGAGCACTCGTCGCACTGCCGTCGTCGTCTCCTGATTAGCAGTCATCAGCTGTAAATCAAAGTTTAACAGTTGGCGTGTTTTTTTCAGCTTAATAAACCAACATAAAAAAGCAAAAAAGCTTCCAAGCTGAAAAGCTATTTTGTAGTTTACGAAACAAATATGGTTGGTTCATATAGAACACGAATTCAAAGGCGCTACTACTAGGGTAAGTGTTGATTGCAAGTGTTGAAATCGTTACTGATTTGTTACACCTTATTTACTGTGTAGCTGATGATTTTTATCACCTCGGTTATCTGTTTGTCCAAATTCACTTGGTTTCGCCTTTATGAACTTGTTTTACGAACTTATTCCGTGGTTTTGTGCATGTTCAACGTCGAGTTGATTCCTTCAGGTACCGTCGAAGGCAAATGCGCGGAAACGTCACCCACTATCGTGTTGAATAAACCTTGCTGTTAACGACCTCGTGATTGCTTATCAAGGAAGCAGTATATTACTGATCAGTCCCAAGGTTAAAGGAAAGTCGGTTCTGAGATTTTTCAGATTTCTCCAAAAGTTTTCTACGATAGAATCTAGCAAGCTACTTCGAGCACCTCAGTTGTAAATGCACTAAGCATCGAAGTTATGACTGAGCAGCTGCTTAGCAAGAACAGTTACTTGCGGTAAAGTATCGATTTGGTGTGGATCAATTTTTTAGAAATTCTCTATGAATTCGAGTACATTGAGCAATAGCATAGGCAACTGAATGTACATCCACTTGGATACTTACTTGGATGGCCCGTCTTCACTGGTTGTGCGGGCCTCAGCATAATTGTCGTTTTTTCAGAGTTTTGCTGGCCTAGCCGTTGTAGTTTTCCGAAATTCCGAAGTCAGTCTGCCCAAAGTCTGCCTCAAGTCTTCACCACCACAGGCAGTCGTCGGTCTTTGTGGATCAAAGGGAGATTTGCCACCCTGCGATTAGTTTCATACCAGAGCGGTGGTGGACCCTGTTATTGGTTTACTCTTAGCTGGGATTACTGATGAAAGCACCGGACTCGTTCTCAGCTTGAGGAACCCTGCCGGGGAACGAATTCCTTCTGTACATCACAAACGAATTCCTTCTGTACATCGCAGCCTGACACCTATGAACACCTCCCAGCCACGAAGAGGCGGTAAACTCTTGGCAGTATAGTGAGTGTACATTTAGCCTACAAAATAGACGGGAATGGTATATCGACACATCAGTTCACCACTTTTATCATCCTAGAAAACTGCTTTTGAATTGAGTGGTCCCTGGAAAACAGGAGGCCTGATTACCTCAGAAATTGAAAGTGAGCTATCACGTCACGGAGCTGTGATTATTGGAGTGCAATTTTAACTTACTATTTTTTGCCTGCTCTTTCAATGGCAGAGTTTGTTGCAAAATACAACCTCACGGTGATTCTGAGATATTTACAAAACTCCGTACCGTAGAGGTTTACGGAGAGGAACGAACGCGCTATTACCCGTTCCAGGAGCTAACTCGTTCACCACAACACCATGTGGGCACATTGTTTCACCTGTCTCTCAGTTAGTTCTGTTGATCAGTGCCATCAACAGCCACCCGTCAGCAGGATTGAACTGGAGAGCTCAACTAGGCAATGAACCCACCCAGTTAAGCTGAGACTGTAGTTATAAAAGAAGAGTAGGCAATAAATAATAAGCTAAAATTGCGATTATAGCGACAGCCTCGGCTTAACTGGGTTCATTGCCGATTTGTGCTCCCCGAATCAGTCCAGCTGATCAGTGATTGCTGATGGCAGTGAGCGATAGAACTAGCTGAGAAAAACAATGTTTCTACATGGTGCTGTGGTGAACGAGTTAACTACTGGAAAGGGTAATAGCGCGTTCGTTCCCCATCGTAAACATCTGCGGTCCGGAGTTTTGCAAATACCTCAGCAACACTGAAGTTATACTGAAGCACAATTTTCATCGGCCAAAGTACCCAGCTGACTCTGAACTTCATATTTTTTGATGCAGTACGTTGTTTTTATTATTTTAAAGGTAATATAGAAAATGAGAGTTCGCCACACTTGTATTCATTCAGTGGCTGATCAAACACAGATTCAATTGTAACTAGGATGCCGGACGGATAGAAATGTCGAACCTTTTCTAATCTGAAGTTTTCCGGTCTATTAAACTGTTGAGCTCTTTTTCCTGGACGACCTCGTTGGATAAATGCAATCGAATAACGAAGAAGGGGCAGCCTATTAGCACACTTTTTTTTGTCATGAACAATAGGAATAAACGTCGTCTTAGAAGTGTGGTGATCATTTTGTCCCTCTAGCGAGTCTATCCCACTTGACAGCCGCTGTGCGCGACAGTAATAAATGAAGACATTACCGACGGCCCACTCACTAAAAGATTAGTGAGATTACAGGTGATACGGATAATATACAACAACCTATGCAAGAGTTATTTTCCTTACATTGTCTTCAATATACCGAAAATTTTCAAACCTATTTCAAACTATAATCAAATCTAAAACTACAAAAATTTTACTTTTATTAACTGCCCGTTCTTTTTTCACGGGCAAGGTGCCATGCTGATAGGTGTTTGCTAATAGCACCATTAGAGGAAAAAACTAGTTGAAAGGAAGGCAAAACAAAGAGCCTCGGTTGGTGTGGTGGATAGCATGTGAGCTCACGGAAAGGGTAAGCGCACGTTCAAAACCTAAATGGAGATTCCGAATTTTGCTAGCATCTCAGCATTCTTGTGCTTACAATGGCACTGTTTATAACATCTCATCTAAAGGATAAAATATTGCAGCATTTGCTTGGCGGTATTACTTTTAAATTCTTCAAATATCTTCTGTTTTCCTGGTGAGCCAGAATATCGTTTTATTCACACGCAAACATCTTAAAGATGTAATGTTTGAATGGGCTGGAGGAACAGTTTTTATTAGAAACTGAAGCAGTTAAAGTGCTTATACTCCGACTATGGTTTCTGTGAAAAGAATTTCGACATTTTGTGATATCATTAAAGGTGTGATTTTAAGGAGATCGACGCATACCGTATGTCCACTTCGATTACGATATCGAATCCATTTGCTGCCAGGTCTCAAATAGTCGATCATATACTCGGATACAAACTCACGACCTGTGCCATTACCGTACCGTCCTTGAGTTTCAACAGCTGTGACGATGTAGGTGCTTTCAAGATTGATCTACAATTTAAGTAAATCTTTGGCATGAATTACTTCATAGTAGTAAACAGTTACAGAGAAGAAAGTCAAGATGGTCTAGTTTGCATTACTGCGTGTCATGGCCAAACCAAGTTTATAAAAAATCACTCATCTCATGAAAACAAGCTTCCTTTGAGGTTAAAAGAAACTTATGTCTTCTTCCAATTCGCAAGTTTAGATAAAAAAAAAAACTTAAGCGTTGAGGAATCTGCTGAGAATTTAGGAAGCAATGCTCCCTCAAGGAAACGTGACAGGTTATTGTGCATGGACTGTAGCTGATTTTCATCGATAACGGCGTATCAAATCAAACGCTCTGTTGAAACGTTTTAGTGCCGCTAGAGATCATTTTCGTGGAATCCAAATAAAGTCGAGTTCATTCCATAAGCGATGAAAAATGGGGAGGCCTTGAATTTGAACGCAATAAAGGGTTCTGTGGAAATTTTATTTGACTTAGTCTAAACTGAATAATGCTGAGTAACGAAATTTCGTTCAGATTCGTGAGAAGTTCCCAGAATGCTTCTTAACATGCATTACCAAGGAACTGAGAGCCCGCGCTTTCTACATCTGCGCAAAATTTGTTTTGGCTTCGTACAATGAATTCAAATAGTTATAACTAGATTCATGCAGTTCCAAGATTATGGAAGGTACGAAGATATTTAAAGCAATTTAGCAGCTGTTTGGTTGATGAAAATTTCCTCTTCTTGCCGAGATGCTTATTGAAGGTGATGGATAATAGGAGGTGGTATGAGAACGATGGCGGAAGAGTTTTGCAGAGTAACTCTTTCAAATGCTGTAGAATTAAAACAATAATAACGGATCGGTGCTAATGGCTCTGTTAAATAGAAAACTAGTTGAGAGAAAGGTGAAACGAAGGACTCTCATGGCGTGGTGGTGAATGCGTTAGCTCCCGAAAAGCGTGTTCGATCCACACCGCAGACACCTCCGGTCTGGAGTTCTGCAAATATCTCAGCATCATTGTTGCTGCATTTCACATAATACTCTACCGAAAAATTGTAGTAGGCATTAAGTAAAAAGCTACCACTATGGACTTAGTTGTACAACGTGTAGCCGTGTACATCGATGTCGTGAACTACTTCACTGTGATCCTTATGCAAAGATTGACGACATCATTTGTGTCGGAAAGCGAAAAAACAGTCATAACTATCTTTCGGTGTAAATTAGGCATTGGAAAATGCTTAGAAGCTTCGTCTTAGCCCAATCCCTGAACTGGACGCCTTCGGTTTTCGTAAGGAACCCATTGTTATTCAATGTTAAATGTGATCAAGAAACACGCCATTTTCATGGCGCAAAAGAAGCAGAGATCAATATTCATAACGACGACCTCGCTGCTCCTCACTAACTTCACGCGGCATGCATTTATCATGAGCTCTTTCAGCTTGCCATTTCCTTTCTCACGACAGGCAATTGTTGAATTCTGAACTTTGGTTTTAGGCTTAGAATCCACGGTTAGTTTTCAGAGCCGTAGTATCAGTTATTGGTTTCACTTTGCCAGGGTGGGTCTGTTGGTTATAATAAATTTCTTAGTACGCCATAAGAACTTACGAGTCCGGTAACTTACGAGGTATCAACTACAACTGTGCATTGTGCGTTCAAAACCCGTTTTCTAATCTACGCGTAATTTAAACAGCTCTACGACTACTGAAAATGAGATTTCCGAAAGATGTTACATGGAAGTGCTTGAGCAAGAAGTAAGCTTTAAAAAAAAGACAGCAGCAACGTGCGAAAATTGTGATACAACAAAGTTTGTTGATAGCCCTGATAATGAAACAATTCATTATTTTTACATGAATGCATAATTCATCATCTCTGTAAATCAATGAATAGCTGAAGCTTCGATGTTGTTTTTTCACCGCTTCCCTTCACATTGGCAAAGCGAGATTTTCCACAGTGATCTCGATTGCTCTTTTGTTTGTCTTCCACATTGCCATCCTCTTAACGAAGGTCACTTAACGACCCCATACCGTTAGAGCAGGTGTTAGAAGTATGTATGATGATAGAAGCTCTTAAAGAGTTATCGCCATTGTATGATATCACCAACATCTCGTAATGTGTACCAATGCTCTTAATCACATGTCCTACGCGCTTTACACACACAGGCTACATACATAGTACCCATACAGGAACCTGATAAAATATTATTACCAATGTAGGCAAAGTAAGCAAGTAAGTAGATAGCAAGTATTAAAGTGTTATTAGTATTATAAAAATTAGTGCAAAGGAAAATACTTGAGGACAAAAGCTGTTTAGAGAAACATCTTGAATCATTAAAATTCTAGAGCTCTCAATTGTTTTTTTAATTAAAGCTCCAAAATGATAAAGCTCTCAGCGTTGATCAATTCCTGAGGGATGCGCCATGCATTCGGCTTCATTAAGCATCGTTTGGAGGAGATTGAATGAATATCTGGCCTTTGCAATGATCCGCGATGGTCTACCGATGTATCAAGCCAGTGCTGCTATCCTGCCCGACGAGTCTGGTACCAATTTGCCGACCCCAGAGGGATAGAAAGCTTGGCGACCACTTGGCCACACGCGCTCCTGTGTTTGTAATTAAATTCACGAAAATGTAAAAAACTATTACCTGTAAGAATTCATAACTACTGCTATGTATTTGTGGTTTTGGGCACCATGCTCCGGATCCGATTTCTGTGCGAATCCTGAAATTCATATCGCATAGTCCGGGATTTAATAGTAATTTGCAAATGGTCATTCGTGCACTCATGCATCCACACACATGCTCAGCAATGAAATTTGCATAACATAATGGGGCTGCTAATAGGCCACCGCAATTATTCAGGAAAGCGTTCCAAACACCATAGCTCCAGGTAGTACGCTTCATGAACAAAAACGTCATTTGTCCTCATTCCCAACAGCCTTACACCCCTTCCTTCCACCACCATCATCATCATCTCGTTGTGACGCTAATCAGACAATCACCCAACACACCAGTCGTAGTGCGTAACCGAATGGATTTGGAAAATGATTATGAAAGGTCTTTTGTCTTAAAAATAACGAATTAGAAATACTACAGCGTTTTAGTGTAATCAAACCAGAGCTGGTACTACAATGAGAAATGAAGATCCTAGACATTCGCCGATAATAAGGACATCCTAAAACATCCACCCGGCTATAATCTTCCTAATTATCGGATAAATGAACTAGATACCAACAAAATCTCCATTCATCGCTGTTGCGCGCTACAATTGTACATCTTAGCTCGATATAGTGGAACGTCAGCCACGCGTAAGGAGTGCGGCGTGCGATAAATCACATTATAGATTTCTAGTCGCAACGTAATCTATCATGGAAAAAATTGTTTTCACTGCATTGGCGCAAAAATAATGAAAAATCTCCTTCTATTGAAGTATTTATGAACATTCTGATGCTTTGGAATTCGTCTAGACAGTTCTACTCCACTCAAGTCAGAAATACTTGAGTTTCACCATAGCGGATAATTTTCACAATTTACATTTAATATAAACCTGCGCATATCTAGTTAACTAAGGCAGTTTCACCAATCCAGCAAGGGTGTAATTCATCTCTCGTCACTTGACTGCAGCACTCATCCGACCCAATTTCCACTGCTAGACGCATTCCAATTACAACAAATCTCATCGTGTATCATTTCTATTGAATTCTAAGCTTTCCTCAATCGCTATTAGTCTAACAATTTATCTCAACATAACGCATTACGGCAGCGCAACGACATCTGTGACACATTACTGCCGACGTTGTAAAGATACGCAAACCTCACTGTAGACTAACGGCTTCAAAGTTCAAGTTATAACATAGATAGAAGCATTAGAAACCGTCAGTGTATCAATAAGGCTAGAAAAAGGCATACCTGGAATTTTGCGGTCCAACACTTTGTCTATCGAAACTGCTGCTAGCGGTGATTTGAGAATCACGGATGACACCTGATTCCATGCCAAGCGCTGTCGCATTGCATTCATCTAGAAAAAAAATTCTTAGCAGGAAACGTGCAGACTAAATATCACTTTATCATATTTAACCATGCTCAATACTCCCGCGGCTTTTTCTTTTCAAGCAGCTGATCTATTGAAGATTCTTTGCCGCGAAGACATTTCAAAATGAAGCGAACGTCTCCTGTTCATCTTTTTCCTCATGACTTCCTTCTAAGATTAAGGATAGAAAAACTACTTTATGATATTTGTCAAAGACGATTATAGTGAAGGCGACAAGTCAATGGATGCCTTATCTCCGCCTGCCCACGTGATGATATCAGCATAGTTATGCGGAATTGTAACAGTAATAGTAGCCCAACCTTCGTCTCCTAACACTCAAGCATTTTTTAGTAACTTTCACTCAGCACCGTAGTGAATTCTATACGATTGTACGTTGGAAGAGTGCTTACCCTAAATCATTCAAAGTAGGAGAGTCGGGTATGATTCTTAAGAGAGTACGGTCAGAAAAAACCTCAATTTTCAGTCCATCAAATTCGCTCGGATTGTCATACTCTAACTGGGTGATGCATAACTAGAAACAGTGCTGGAAAAAGTGGACACAAACTCAACTGCATGGGCTTATCGAAAGTATAGGAGCCTAATTTCCAATTCCGAGGTTGTTTCTCTTGCTTAAAGTGGATAAGAGACGGCTCGCGGATGCATGGAATAGACCACCAGAGCACACCTTCCATTCACTTCGTTGCCTTGCCAGTGGTTTCCATAGAGGTGGTTAGTTCGCGTCTGGGTTTGGTTGAAATTTGAGAATTGTGGAATCTCAAGACGGCATTGCTTCAGCTTTTCAATTTATCCATTGGAACCGCGTCTTTTGAGTTTGAAAGACGATTCCGCATTGCGGCTAGGATTCTTACAACAGGATAGCCCCATTGAAGACGCTAATATATCATTACTGGTGCAACAGTCTTAGGGAACAGATGCGATGCATATGTTATTTTAGTAAATCACAGCCTAGAATGACTCATTATTGAGTTTGCCGTTGCCTATTCTTGCCTCATTACTAACAAGTGAGCGCTCAACGCAGGAATATGCCAGTGAAGTTGCATAACTGGTTTGGCCTTAACATAAAATTCGTCGGTAGAATTGCAGCGACCTCTCTTTTGTTGATATATCTCCGGAGACCAATACTAAACACTTTCACTAGCACTCCCATCCCAGTGCAATTCAAGAGAGACAGATTCGGAAAGGGGAAGAAAGAAAAAGCGACACTAATTTCTCATGTTCAGACGACAGAAGTTTTGGTGTGGCTGAAAAATGCATACTCAGGCAAAATTTTAAGAAAAAAACATTTTTAACAATTGATTCTTATCATCAGTCAGTGGGAACTCTTAAAAAACTACGCGCCTAAGAAGATCTGCATGTTCATGAGGAATGCTACAAGCAAACCGAAAAACACGGGCTACGGCTACTCTTTTTGTGGCAAGAAAATTTATGAAAAAACGTGGATTCCGTGAGTTAATCAGAATTGTCGTCATAGGTGGGTCCTGTGCTTTTTTTAGGACCCTCACAGAACCCATATAGAACTCTGGCCCTGAAACTGGGCTTTTTTTTATTTATCCCAACCTATTGCTAATAATTCACCATGAGGAAAAAGTAAATTTACAATCAACTTTGTTGTCGAGTGCGAGCGAATAAACGCGAGTATTTAAAATGAGAAAAAGAAATATTAGAAAGTCGCGTTTCCAGCGGAAATGGATTTGATCGTGTGAGGCAAAATAGAGTTTGTTTACAACAATTTATCCATGGCCGGTAAAGTTAATAAACGATAGCAGAAGTGAACTGCAAATTTTCGCACATATCAATAAATTCACGAATGTTTCTGTTCTCGTGTGTGGTTTTTCGTAGACGATTTAGTCGGTCGGCAGTGCTTTCGAATCTCAGATGTCGGCGTGCTCTCCTCTGTTGCGGTCAGTGCTTTATCAGAGGACGAATGGTGAAGGATTAGCGAAGCACCCACGCTGAATGGGTCAGCGGGTGCTCTTTTCACTTAACGATCATCGCACACTATAAACATGCTCAATGAATCTTCCTCTCCATACTGATTTCCAACCATTAGAAACATCTGCTGACAGGAACGAACACAAAAGGCACACGTCCTTGCACTAGCAGCGATCTGACATTCTATTTGAATGAACAAACACATTCGTTAGCAGAATCTCATAAGTAGGGTTCGACATTTTCACTCAAAAAACGTTTTAAAGCAAAACACTGTGCTAATAACCACTACTGCCTTGTCTGACAACAAAAAAATCACTGGTTGACAATTGGTGACGACAGTGGAAGGCCTTTGCAAGGCTTTCAAAGCTCCAAAGATGAAAAACTTTGCTCAGTCAGAAAATGGCTAGTGAAATGGAATCTCTGGTAAGATCTGTGTGGTTCTATGTGATTAGCGAAGTGGCCATTCAAGCAACAAGTCCAGGCATACAGAGCGTAAATTGAAGCTCTATTTCAGAAAAGAACTACATGCATAAAAAAAAATTCATATGGTTTGGATTTTCTGATCGGCTGCAGTCATGGTCGATAAGTGGCAATGATTACCAAGTGTTCATTAGCAAGATCTTCACGAATGCCGACGAACCACCTTAACGATTAGAAACCCTTCAGCTTGAACTATCGTATTAGTGCCCGATAGTTGATATTTTTGAAAAGACTAGACTTATGGCAATGAACTCTCAAATTCACTCTTATCGAAGCTGAACACTAACTAAAATCAGATGAAAAATGGACGGTAAATCAATGAAAATAACAGAAAACATGTACAGTAATGCTGAGATAGGAGCAAAACTCGAGGGCTCAGGCGGCTTCGAACCTACGATTATTCTTTTTAGGGTCCACGTATTATCCATTGCACCTCCAAGGCTTTTGATTTGCGTTTCTATCAGGCAATTTTTTACTTTAACGGTGCTGTCGCCAATCCCACGTCAACAGGAGCGGTCTAGGGATCAAAAATCGGCATTGCACCCAGTTCCGAGTTTTGTCCATATCTCAGCATCACTGCAGTTGTATTTCATGTCATGCCCTACCATGAAGAAGTAATAAGCAATAAATAAAGGTCAAAAATTGTGGTGTCATTTGCATTCTCATCTTAACTGGGTTCAAAGGCGATTTGTGCTCGTCAGATCATTTATTTTGATGGCTGAATGCTGGAAGTATTATAAGGGTAGTACGAAACAATTGGAAAAAAAGCATTACTAAGATTACAGATTACAGTTATCGTTCAGTAAAAATTTCAGAAATACTCTTGACCTAACTGCAAAAGAAACTTACTGCTCGGTTAATTATAATCAATAACGAGGGAATTTTTAGGTTTTTATGGGCTAATGATGAAGAGTATGAAGTACGACAATAAGAACAACGTGCCTTACTTACCGAGCCGCAGTGGAGACACACTCTGAAGAACTACAGCGGCGACAACTAACCACATAGCATCCCAGCTTCTGAAAAAAAGAGCTTTCTAATAGCTGATCGACTAGTCGACTATGTGATCATGAAAGAGTCTGTTGTTTTCTCTCCTTGTTGTCTTTTTTATTTTTTTTTCGCTTGCACGACAATCGTTTCGTGTCGTCCGTCTATTATATTACTACCCCAATACGCTCAACAGTACTATTCAACGATAACTTTCCCGTCTACTAAAAGAAACTTTTGTCGAAGATGAAATAGATGTTGCTTTAGACCGTTAAAAACCTTTATTTTGAGAGAATCATTTACATTTGGACTATATTTTCACTAATCTACGCAACGCATTAGAAATGATTCAAACTTATCAGAAGTTGGAGAAATTATCTGAACTAATCGCTTATCGAAATATTCCGATTGATAGAAATACACGGAACAACCACGAAGACTTCATAATGTTCGAGACGTGCTTTTTGTACGAACATCAAAAACTTTCCACCATTCGTCAATGTCTTAGCGCACCAACGCAAATGATTTAGTTAGAGAACTTGGTCAATGATAGACATTATATGTACAAAAGTGATTTTAATCACAGATGCTTCTAGCGCAGAGAATGTTATAGATTGTAGTGAAAATTTCGTAGTGATGAAAGCCATAGCATTAGTTCTGATAAAGGCATGGCAAATAGCCATTACTAATGCTTACGAAACTGTAACACCTCAGGAGTGCTGAAGAGGAAAATCCACGCCCCGATAGGTAATTGTGGCCAGAAGAAGGTCTCTTTTATCTTGCACTTTATTTCAAACGAAATGACTACAGCTATAAGACGTTGCTTAAGAAGGGCCGTCTAGAGAAGTTGATAACAGTGATTGAAATACCACCGGACACTCTCAGCCACTAGCTAGTTCGTAGCCACGTATACGAGCTTGGCCACTTATATGAGCTTCTTTGTATAAGGCAGAATTGCATTATGAAGTTGGTGATTGCATGATTTCGGGTGAGATATGCCCAATCTCTTGTAAAGTGTGTGGGGACGAATACGCAGGCAAAATGGATAAATAACTCTGCCTCCGCATAAAAGCACACCAAGGACGTAAGCGTAACACTAAACAGTATACTCCACTAAACGCGCATAAGGTACAGAGACATAACAGAGAATATTTTGACGTAAAAGTTACTATCCTAGCACTGGAAGCCGAAATATCAGCACGTAAAGTTCATGAAATATTTTGGATAAATCCCAAAAACCGAAAAAGGGATAGCAAAGAGAAACGTCATGTGATCCGCGTGACCCAGAGCCATACCACAGGCTGACTATCCTATCTAAGCCCTAGTCGCCAGTAAATAAATGGAATTCTTACAAAATACAGAACGGCCGGTTTTTAGAAGAAGCTGTTTATTATGTGAATGCAAATTTATGTGTTAAGTTTTGTTTGCTGAGGTTATTCAAATGTTTGACTGGGTAGATTGCATGTTAATTTAATGCTTCCAGGTTCTGAAGAAGGCGAAAGGTCCGAGTTGTCGATTATTGTGTATTAACAAATTGTGCAATAATAACCACGTGTTTGCTCATCAAG